GTGTCGACCGCAACCTGGACCCCTCCTCAGAGTGGCAAGCCGTTTGCAATGACTTTTGACCCACTTGGCCGTTCTCGCGAGCCACATGCCAGCATGCCGACTGGACTAGGGGTGGAGGAGGGTGCGAGCGGGCATGCAGGCTAATCGCCCAAGTGTCCCGACCTGCTTGCGGGTGCCCGATCGCCAAAAACAAAGAGAAGCAACGTTCGGCGACTTGCCGCGCGGCTGGCGGTTCCATGCGTCGCGAACTCGAAACTAGCACTTGCGCGAACACGTGCTGCTACCAACTCGGCTGCCCAGCTCACCAGGTTTCAAGGCGGCCCTCATGCCGGTGCATACGGCAGTGCCAGCTGAGCCCACCACCTTGGTGGATCCGCATGCCATGCGGCTGGCGCGGCGCTGAGCCCTACTACCCCAGGCTGCGGGCAGGTAGGCGATGCTTCATGCGACCATGCATTGACATGTGCGCCCACCGGCCTTCGCACTAAAGTTGGCGTGGACGCCGTGAGGCGGTCGGAAGGCCAAGTCGGCCCGGTGGACGCACACCATGGCCGCAGGAGTCGATCCACAGGAGTCACGCGGAGCCGGCGGTACACAGACTCCTGCCGACTCGCTAACGAAATAGCTGGCGTTAAAAATTAGAGCACGGTAGGGTCCTGTAGCGTAGTCGCGGGTCGGGACGGCTTTTGCAGACAGAACTACGTTTGTAGCAAAAGCATGTACGAATCCGCACGAAATCAAGCTGAACCGAGCATATTATAAAACACGTGCTAGCGACAATTTATGCCCGGATGGAAACCTGTAACCGCCGAACGCACACAGGCTCCAAATGGCGCTGACTTGTGCCGCCGTCATCCTGGTGCAGACATCGCCACCTGGAAACCTTGCCGTGGCTCCGAGGCTCTTGGTTTTTCTACAGGCCAACCATACCCAGAGAGCCCAATACTCATTAATTATAAGCAATATACCTTAAGCTATAAGGGGCTTGTTACAATGATTTAAGGTATATTCCTAATTAAGGGGTATTGGGCTTTCTGGGAACCTGTCACAACGCCTGTGCAGGAACTGGCCATTCCGAACGAGATGCTGGAAGCGCCTTTCGCAGACCGTGTGGTGGTTTGGCATATTGAATTGGTTCGTATTGGTTCGCTTGGTGCTTTGTGCAAACAAGACTTTTTCCGTCTGTGAAATGCTCTCGTTAGAAGTCGTTCCGCGAAGACAAGGTAGGTGCCAAGACTCAGAGTAGCAAATACCATGGCGACCGAGAAAGTTTGATTACTCCAAGAATGCGCCGCAGCACCACTCTCGCCGCCAAGGATGCATTGGCCCGCACCCCCGTGCAGGACTTATGCTTGGGAAATAAGTTGCCGCTCAGCTCACGCAAGAACAATAATCATTCTGCGTGCGATTTCGAGTTTTGCATGGTCTTGCTCGCACATGCTGATGAGGAAGGGGTTGGTGTCAAGTTTCAACGACGCAGGCATCTTGGATCGAACAAGTGCTTGCGGTGCCAAGTTTGAGGAAGGTATGCCTGCGCCGGAATGAAATGCAGGCGATTTCGTTATTATCGACGTCGGCGCGGATGTCGAGGGTTTTGCCCACATCTCCGTTCTGGATGAGGACTTTGTGGACGACCCGCGCGAGCTGTTCGAGGTCGGCGATGAGGCCCGTCTAGACCGACAGGAAATGCAGCAATTGTTTTTTTTGCAATAGGTCCAAATAGGTGCGTTTCATTCTTATCAGTTTCAACCACTCATCCTCCAACGCACCATCGGCGTTTGGATGTGGCGAAGCGGGGTGTTTGCAGCGTTGCCACAAACAAGGTGTCTATTACAGCTGCGTGTTGAATGCGAAATCCTAAGTACAATCCAACCACAACCCCCCAAACCCAAACTCTAGTCACATTATGACACACCTACGGTTTCCATGCCGAACAGTATATCGAGCGCTACTTGTCGGACATTCAACTCATGAGTTCGGCTTCCGCAAGATCAGGTCGTGGCTATTGTGGCTGGCATCGAGTTCTCCGGAAGCTTCGTTGCAGAAGGTTGCAGGATCGAGGTTGCGGTTGAAGGAGGTTTGGCGTTTGATTCACCATATTCGATTCAGCATCTGCCACATTTGATGCCCTGTATGTGTGACCACGCAAAAGATACATTGCATGCCGGCCGAGGTGAAGCTGTGCCTTTGCGCCGAATCACGCCACTGCCATCATACGTCACCGCGCCCTTTGTTTGCAATCAGTGTGCAATCTTTGCGTTGGCGATTTTAAGCCAACACCAAAAAACTCATGTATAAGACTTTTTCAGTGGAGAATCACGAAAATTTCGGCAGTCACTCATTGCATCAGCCCAAGCAGAATGTGCTGAACCTTGGGTTCGGAAGGGCGCTGCCATGAATGCTATACGCTTGCACGCCGTCCTCAAGTCAAGCCCACAAACTCAAAACCCTCAATCTTCAACCTTTTCACCACCGGAGCGGGAACGCTCTACCCCTGCGATCTTTTGACCCAATGCTCAAACCGATGTGTACATCTTCAGCCCTTTGTTATACGGCTTCAGGCAGATCCTCAACCGCAGAAACCCTGCTGCCTGTATTTCAGATCTGGCTAGGGGAAGGCAATCAGCACCCAATTGGTACCAAACAGAAATTTGGCCAAAACTAGGCAGTTCTTCAAAATCATATTATTTTGGTTCCGCGTTGTTCGCAGAAGGAACGCGGCTATGCGCAAAAGACGTCAAAGACCATTCCTGAAGCTCAAACGGCACAAACCTCTGAGCCTTACTACAAGCTTGTCAAGTGTTTCTACGCCTTCCCCGCTAACTCCATTGGGACCGTTGTGGGGATCCTTCATGTCAAGCTCCTAAGCCCTAAGCCTTGTACTTTAAAGCACTAAACGTCTTTAACCCTAAGCCCTAAACCCTGAGCCCTAAACCCTTAAATCTTCAACTGGAACCCTACAACCCTAAGGCCTTAAACCTTGAACCCTACAACCCTAATACCATAAACCCTAAACCCTAAAACCCTAAAGCCCTAAACCCTGAAACCCTAAACCCCTAAACAGGGCCTGCAGAAGAAGCCCGAAGCCCTAAAACCTTAAACCACTAAACCCTAAACCCTAAAACCCTAAACCCTAAAACCCTAAACCCCTAGACAGGGCCTGCAGAAGAAGCCCGAAGCCCTAAAACCCTAAACCACTAAACCCTAAACCCTACAACCCTAAACCCTAAAACCCTAAACCCCTAAACACTCCCTGCAGAAGAAGCCCGAACCCCTAAAACCCTAAACCACTAAACCCTAAAACCCTAAACCTTAAACCCTAAACCCTAAACCCTAAAACCCTAAAGCCCTAAACCGTAAGAAGCCCGAAGCCCGAAGCTCGAAGCCTGAGGTCGCGGCTGAACCTGTCCCTGGCGCTTTCCAGAACCTTAGGTTCACCAGTACTACCCTTTTGCCCTTTCTGTTTTGGGGTTTTTGGGGTTTGGGGTTTTGGGGTTTAGGGTTTTAGGGTTTAGTGGTTTAGGGTTTAGGGTTTAGGATCTAGGGTATTAAGCCCAACCCTTACTGTTAGGGGTCTACTGGGGAACCGAGGAACCAAACTTCGACCCCGTCCACCGCCCGGCAACATCGCCGATGACATCAAGGCCGGCAGGGAAAGAAGAGCCTGCGGCTGACTTGGGTTTAGGATTTTAGGATTCAGGTTTGGGTTTAAAGTTTAAGGTTTAGGGCTTTGGGTTTGATAGGGTTGACTGAAGTTTCCGAACACCTTTGATTGTAGTGTTCAAAGCTCGGGCTCCTTCTAAGGTCTAGGTGTAGGGGCTAGGGGGCGGCTAGGAGGTTTATAGGAACCTCATCAAGAAACCCTGTGTCTTTATCAGGCTCCTCTGTATGAGTCCTACTCTTTCGGAGTGAAAAGAGCTTGGGTTTCTTGATCAGATCAGGTTCCTACTTGGAGGTTCATGGGTAGTTATAAGTGGGTTATAAGTCCCCTAACGTGGATTATAAGTATAGTTACCCTAATTATAACCCTACTTATAACTACCCATGAACCTCCAAGTACAGTATGGGTTTAGGGCTTAAGATTCACAGGCGGTCTTGCGGGGATCTTAGGGTTCGCGCTTAGGTTTTGGGATGTTGCGGATTTTACACCTGGTCATTGTTCAATTAGGGGCTTTGGGCTTATGGGGTGTGGGGTTTCAAGCAATTTGGGCCGTCACCGTTGCGCACTCTGCTTGACTGGCAGAAAGGTGGGCATGTCCTACGACGGCATCGTCAGCCACGTGCGTCAGGAGGGCTTCCACGTCATCGTGGGCGATGCCCGTGGCGGACGTGGCCACGAAGGTGCCGCGAGCTGGCACACTTGGCAGGAAGTGAGTCATGTCAACAGTTTTCGAGGAACTTAAGAAGACTCCACAAAAGAATTTCGGTAGTTCAGATAAGGGCAGTTTGTTCCGGTTTGTGTGCCACGTGCAAATCAAATCCCCACACCCAGAGCCACAGAGTCCAAACCTCAAGTGCTGAAGTTTGACCAGGTTCGAAACTTTGCAGAAACCCAGCAATGTGGAACCATGACTGCGAAGCCGTTCAATCCACGACAGTCCCCAAACCCGGACTCTTTCCACAACAAAACCGCACCCTAAAAGTCTTAAACGCGTTTTGTTCACAACAAGCCCTACCCTGAACCCTAAACCCTCCTAGACCCTGCAGGTTTTAGGGTTTTAAGGTTTAGGGTTTAGGGTTTAGGGTGTTGTAGGTTTTCTACATATCTCCAAGCTGCCCACCCGCGTGAAATCGGCCTACGAGGCCCGGCCTTCCCGAGAGTTTTTTCGGCTTTCCTGTAGGGGTCTTAGGGTTTAGGGTTTAGGGTTTAGGGTTTAGGGTTTAGGGTTCAGGGTTTAGGGTTTAGGGTTCAGGGTTTAGGGTTTAGGGTTCAGGGTTTAGGGGTTTATGGTTTAAACAACAATCAGGTCTCATGTGGGGTTGCTGCGGGATTTTATTGGGTGGTAACAGTAAGGCCTTTGAGGGTGCTCTGTTCATAAACAGAAGACAAAGAAATTTAGCACATACAGATTTGTTGTACATATGTACATAATACTGTATATGTTATGTACGTACATATACGCGTACATACTGGATATACACGTAAAAGCTGTATACATAAACTGTTTAACTCAATTAATATGTATACTGTATACATATAGTTTAATGTATGGGTCGGAATCATTGACAATAGTGTCCCCCTGTAATCCTTGAACAACTGTAATGTACATCAAGACTCCTTTGAGTGTATCACGGCAATCTCAGTAAGCGGGGGGGGGGGGGCGGGGGGGGGGGGGGCAACTTATCAGCTTTCTGGGATAGTATATATATATATATATGTATATATACACACATACATCCTACATGATCCCGAAAAGTTAACCTTCTGTGAGAATTCGGCAGTGCGTGAGCATGGTCATGGCCACGACATGCCACGCATCACCAAGCCGTTCGAACATCAATCATCGCTTGCAAGGTCGACCTTGGCCCCTACACCCTAAACCCTAAACCCTAAACCCTAAACCCTAAACCCTAAACCCTAAACCCTAAACCCTAAACCCCGAGCCTGAAAGAGCCATCTCCAATACAAGGGCTTGAATAGTATAGGGGCCTTATCAATTACCTATACTATTTTGGGGCTCCTTATAACAGTAATAGTATAATATGCCCCAATACCCTATTCTGACTATTCAAGGCCCCTACAGTAGTGTGTAGAACTTTGCCCCAGGGTTCTGCAGTCTACTTTTCAGATCACATCACCCAAAACACTTCGTCCACCTGTTCAGACCATAAACACTTAGTGGGCCGTATAGAACCCTTACAGAACCCGCTAGCCACTATAGAAACCTTTGACGCTTGATGTAGCCTGGTATCCCAGGCTCTAAACCTTTGCAAAAACCAAATGTGCTCTTGCGGAACACATACGGCTGATGAAGAAAATCCTGCATTGCCCATAATAAGGAATATACCACACTTCCCAGAGTTTATAGGGTTCTTAAGGTAATGCAGGATGTATATAATCAACAGTATCACCCTAAACCCTGAACCAATAGAGCCCTCTTGGAGGCCCCGGGCACTTAGAAAGTAGGTTATAAGTAGAGTTATAAGTACCCTAACTGTAGTTACCCCAATTATAACCCTACTTATAACCGAATCACTAAGTCCCCTGGGCCTCCAAGCTTTTGACGAGCTTTTAGCGGCGCCCTTTTGCTAGTCTCGCAGGTCGCCAAAGTCTGCGACAAGGTTCGGACGAAGGTGTTGGGCATCCATAAAGGACCCGAATAAGGGTTTAGGGTTTAGGGGTTTAGGGTTGAGGATTTAGGGTGTAGGGTTTAGATAAGGGTAAGTCCAAGGGTTTAACATTTATGGAGGACTCGAGCTTGTATAGGTTTGCCTTCGAGCCTCCTTGAAAGAGCTGCCTTCGAAAGCTTTATGGTATTGTCTCACATGGCTGTATAGGGTTGCGTGCATAGGTTTTGCAGGGTTGGCTTCTAGGACTTTAATCGACTGTTTTAGGGTCGGTTTCTAGGGTTGGTTTATAACGGTTATATAGAGTGGTTCTACCGGCTTTATGGAGCTGTCCTGTGGGGCTTTTCCTTGTTGAGTTTGGGTTGGTTTACAGGCTTTTGTAGGGTTCATAATTCACAGGGTTACCAAAGGATCTGTGTGGTTGTTTAACATTATGTGTGCCTCTTCAACAACTGAAGGGTGCAAGGAATGGTGGCTCTTACTGTCCGCAGTACGAATCTCCCAAGCGGTCTACGCATCAGAGGCTGTTCTTGCTTGAAGATCCACCGTCAGGGCTTGAAGCCACCAGAGAGCCTAACACTTTTGAATTAACGAAGATACACTGTTTCGTAGCGTGAACGAGGCCTTCTAGATTCTAGAACTTTCAGACCATATTGCTTCATTAAGGAGTGCAACCGTTCTACGAGAGGAACCCGTAAAGAAGCTGCTCCCAATTCCCCTAAACCCGAAGCCCTAAACCCTAAACCCTAAACCCGAAGCCCTAAACCCTAAACCCTAAACCCTAAACCCTAATCCCTAAACCCTAAACCCTAAGACCTCGCCCGGTGCAGTCTGAGTCTGAGAGTTAAAAGAGTCGAGTTTCGGTAGGGCGGAAGGTTCCTATCAGGTTTAGGGTGTAGGGTAGTGGCTTGGGGTTTAGGGTTCAGGGTTTAGGGTTTAGGATTTAGGGTTGAGGGTTTAGGGTCTACTTGGAGGCCCAGGGGACTTAGTAAATCGGTTATACGTAGGGTTATAATTGGGGTAACTACAGTTAGGGTACTTCTAACTCTACTTATGACCTACTTACTAAGTTTTCTGGGCCTCCAAGTAGGGTGCATCTTCCAGTACAATGATACAGGGGCTGCAGGGCGATCTTGTTTGAAATGTTTCGCACCTAAGTACCTAAACCCTAAACCCTAAACCCTAAACCCTAAACCCTAAACCCTAAACCCTAAACCCTATCTGTGTGCAGGAGGTCGCCTTGAGCTTGCTTGGGCGGCGAAGAAGCCCCCCCACCGACACCTGCGGAGGCTTTGGGGTTTCGTTTCCAGCCCAGAACCCAAACCCTTGATGTTGAGCTACAAGTTCCTGGTTCCAAAGGGCTTAAGGTTGGAGCCGAAGGCAAAGAGGCAACCAAAAAGAAACGACAATGGAGGGTGTAGACAGGTAGCCGGCCAGGGTATTGTTGGCGTTGCTGCTGCTGCTGCTGCTTCTGCTGCTGCTTCCGCTGCTTCTGTTGCTGCTGCAGTTGTTGTTGTTGTTGTTGTTGCTGCTGCTGTTGTTCCCTAATCAAATAACAGACCCGAAGCCCGACACCTTAAAGCAGTTGTAGCCGAAAGATGAGGCGACCCACAAAATCCTCAAAACCCACCCAGTCCCGAAAGCTTCAATTGCAACTTGGGAAACGGTGCCCGGTCATCATCACATTCTACGACGAACAGCCCCAAAATCGGTCTCAGTATCTCAGGCAAGAACCCTACAGGTTTCAGGTGGAAGCCTGTATAGTTACCCATATTATTCCTTTAAGTTCCTTCCTGTAGTTTTGCTACAATATGCCCCCCAGAACCTTATTCGAATTGGCCCGGCCCTTGTATTAAATTGATAGCCTTATTCCCAAAGCCTGAGCCCCAAAGCAATGACTTTAAAGAGTCTTTCTAAAGCCCTTTTACAAGGGGCCTTATAGTAACAAAGCCCCGAATGCAGGGGCCAGTGGATGACTGGTAAAGTCTACAACATCCAGAAATTTGGGATTTTCGTGGAGGCGCGGCGTCTGGCTGCCGGCTTTCGAGATTGGGTTTCAGGCTTCAAGGTTTAGGTTTCAGGGTTGAGAGTTTAGGGTTGCAAAAGGGTTTAGGGTTTAGGTTTCAGGGATGAGGATTTCGGGTTGAAAGAGGGTTTAGGGGTTTGACGTTTCGAAGCCTGAGAGAGAGAGAGAGAGAGAGACCTTGAAGTTTGAGGGTTTTTAGGGTTTCGGGTTTAGGGTTTAGGGTTAGGGTTTTTGGGTACGAAAGATTCCGCTGCATAGTCACTCGCCACTCAGAGGTCCCAGACTTGTGGAGCTTTGAGGACTTTCCATGAACTTTCATGGCAACGAACGTTTCGAGTTTCTCCTAAAGTTGTTTCGAGCCTCAGAAAACCTAACGGCATGTACCCGGGTTGCAGCAAATAAGTTTCCGAGCCGTTTGCAGTTTATGAACACGCTTTACTTGCACGGTGTTACGTTTGGTTCTGGGAAAGCCCGTATCATACGCAGTTTGCTGTGCACCGGATACGATCTTGCAAAGCCGATCGATAGATGGTGCCACGACACCGTGTCAGTGGCCCCCTAAACCCTAAACCCTAAACCCTAAACTCTCCTGGCCCTCCCACCCACCCGCCCACCCTTTGATGGTGTGGTGGAGGCGAGCCGCAGAATTGACTTAAAGTGTGTTAGCAGCAAGGGAGGCAAGCCAGAACTACCCACATCGAGTAAGGGAATGTAGGCTTGGTGATGCCAGAACCACCCACGCCCACACATAGGCATGAGCGTTCATTCCCTCAACCCGAAAAAAGGGCATGACACCTTGAAGGGGAGGCCAACCTACCCAGGGGGCAGGGGCTAACGGTTACCACACCATTGCAGCCTGGCAGCCCTAAGCCTAAAGCCTAGACCCTAAACCCTAAACCCTAAACCCTAAACCCTAAACCCTAAACCCTAAACCCTAAACCCTAAAAACCCTAAACCCTACACCCTAAAAACCCTAAACCCTATAAGCCCTGATGGCAACCCGGCACCATCGATCCCCGCAGGCTCCTTTGTCTCATTCTTTGGGGCCTTAGGGTTGCCTTTAACTACCGAAATTCAGGGTTTAGGGTTAGGGTTTAGGGTTTAGGGTTTAGGGTTTAGGGTTTAGGGTTTAGGGTTTAGGGTTTAGGGTTTAGGGGCGGCAAAAGTTACCAACATTATATTGGGGGTTCCTGGTTAATTATGAATCTCGCATAATGGGCTCCAAAACCTTGTTCTAATTATTGAGGCCCCTATATTAGCCTACATTCAGTGGGTTCTTCTTATAAACCCTACCAGGGAACTGATGGGGATCCTACAAAGATGTAAGTTCAAGGGTAGCTGAACCTCGAGTAGGACCCCGACCCTAAACAAGGCATAGCGCACCAATCCTTCGCCTTTTTCTGAAGGTTACCGAAACAAGGCCTTTAGTCACAGCAGGGGGTGGGCCGTAAATCCTACACCGTGCTTGGAGGCCCAGGGGGCTTAGTAAGTAGGTTATAAGTAGAGTTATAAGTGCCCTAACTGAAGTAGTTACCCCAACTATAACCCTACTGATAACCGACTTACTAAGTCCCCCGGGCCTCCAATTACACCCTGAATCAACCTTTAGGGCTAGGCCCCTCTATCCCGAACCCGAAGCCCCTTCCCTCGCAAATAAAGCCCTAGACCCCGAAACCCCAAAACCCCAGAACCCGTAAACCCCTAAAACCTAAACCTAAAACCCGAAACCCTAAACCCCTAAACCCCTGAACCCCTGAACCCTAAACCCCTAAACCCCCTTTGAAAGGAACCTTCTTAAAGGAACCTTAAACCCTAAACCCCAAAACCCCTAAACCCCTAAACCCTTTTAAAGAACCCTAAACCCTAAACCCTTGTAAAGGAAGCTTCTTTTGAAGGAACCCTATAAGCCCTGGAGGTTGCCACAGAAGATGGCCCATGCCAAGGCCAGGGTTTGGGGTTCGGGGTTTAGGGGTTTATGTGTTTAGGGTTTAGGGGTTTAGGGGTTTAGGGTTGGCTCAAGCTGGCAGTCTTGGCTTCGGGACTTCATTGTGGGGCAGGGGGCCTGCCATTCGCCATGGCGACCAAAGCACAACGCAGAAATGCGCGTCGCAGTCGCAGGCGATCCGAAAATCGAGAAGCCACCTCCTCTTGCCCTGCACTTTGCGAAGATGTCAGGTGGGGTGGGGCGGCGGCGGCGGGGTGATGTGCACTGGCTCGGGCTCGGGCACGATCAAGCGAACAGGCAGATACTTCGTCAAAGTCGGCTTCAAGCTCTTCCTCATCAGATCCGCGGCCCGAGAGCTGATATGGCAGCACGGATCGTGAGATGCGTTGGAGCGTGTATGTGTGTGTGTGTGTGTATGTGCCCTCATCGCTGTGACAGCTGGAAAGCACTCCCACTTGAGTTCACAGCTCACTAGCAGTTGATTAGCTGAAAAGTGCAAGTCCGAAGGACCATCATGTCCATGCTCCGCGTTCTTTTGCTGTCTCTCTTCCTGCTGCTTGTCAATGCCGGCGGTGGCGGGGCGGGCAAGGGCAAGCAACAAGGCTGGGCACGAAAAGGCGACGCGGGAGGAAAGGGCATGCAAGGCGGCAAAGGTAACCAAAAAGGATGGGCGAGCGTGCAAAATGCATCTACCCAGACGAACACCACCCAGGCTGGGTCTTGGCCATACCCGTATGGTTTCCTTGCCCTGAACCACTAATGGTAGGAAGGCATTACGACATCTGGAGAAAACTGTTTGGGTGCAAGGTCTTCATCAGCGTAGCAGAGAGGGTGACAGCACGGCCATTCGCTACCTGAAGCAGAGGTTTGGAACGGCGAAGGGGAGCACTCACGAATTCGTGCGGGATGCCGGAGGCCTACCTAATGCCGCCCTGAAGCTGCAGGAACACTATACCAAGCTCTTTCGCCCCGACATACCGCCACAGCAAGGCCAGCTCGTTGAGCAAGCTTTGCACACCTTTCAAGCGAGGGCTGACGGATCCCCGAGTTCGGACTTCACCGAAGAGGAGGTCCAGCAGGCAGTTGCTAGACTTAAGTTAGACAAGACTACTGGGCCAAGTGGCATCTCCAATGAGTTCATCGTTGATCTTTGGAATCTGCCTGACGGACGTCCTCTTCTACGGCACCACTTGAACTGTCATTTTGCGTGCTGATAGGCTACCCCAGGGCTTATGTGAAGCCCAAGTTGCCTTGTTGCCCAAGGTCTCACCCACACAGAAACCTGGCGACTACAGACCAATCAATCTTATTGAGTGTATCCACAAACTGTTTTCTTGGCTATTAATCAACAGACTACAAAAACACTGGACTGCTCCCAGCATCCAGCTTGGCGGCATGAAAGGTTGTCAAGTCTGTGATGCGCTGCTGGCCGCACAGGCAAGGGTCACCAAGGACAGCAAGCAAACAGCATATAATATCTACCTCAGCTGTGACGTGCAGACAGCCTTTGATGCGTTGGACCAGTCTGCCATCGCCGATTTCATGCTGCACGAATGCGCCTCAGACCAGGGACATGAGTCCTTGCAGATGCTTCGCTTGCTCCTGCTTCCTGAGCTTCGGTTTTACTGGCGGGGGTACTCCTGGACGATAGGACAGTCTTCTGGAGTACAGCAAGGTGGTTCGCAATCGGCAGTTCTATTTTCATACATTCTGGGTTTGGCTGTGCAAAGACTAGAAGCAAAATGGCGGGAACAGGGGGAGCTGACCAAGCACGCGTCCTTCGCAATATAGTTCTTGGATGATCTGCTGCTTTCATTTTCGGACTGGGGGCAGGCGACTCGACTTACAGCTCAGCTACAAGCAACACTGCGCAGCATAGGACTGTGTCTGAACCCTGCCAAAACATCCCTCATGTCCCACCGGGATGTCCTGGCTCATGGCGCTGAGTATGCCTTTCCCTCCGACAGCCTACTGCCGTCCATAAGCTGGGATACATCATGCAAGTACTGTAAGTATTTGAAGAAGAAGCTTACTCATTTCCAAATGGGCACACAGGCCACTGAAGGGGGCTATGCAGATACAAGTGCGTTGCTTCTTGAGTCCATGGGCAAGGCCACGCGCATGGCTTTTGAGTCCTTGAAGAAGTGCCTCCGCAAGGGTCACTGGAGCTGTGTCCCCAACGCATTGCATATGTGCAATCAATACGTGGGAGGGACGTGGTTCTGGTATAGTCCGTTGATTGAGCCTTAGTGTTTAGACAAGGTGAGATCCATGCAGGTCACCTTTCTGGTGTTGTTACCGGGGCTTTTCATTCCCTCCTCGTATCGAGATACTTGGGCACATTTCTTACACAGGTTGCGCAGAAGAACGGTTCTAGTGCTATTAAACCAACATGTTGAGAAGCAATGGACCAACATCTGGTGCAAGCGAAGATGGAGCTATCCCGGGCACATGCTTCGAAAACCCCCTACGTGCATTGCCAGACAGGACATGTTGAGACTAACGCATGTCAAGCAGGCCCATCCGGGGCCGTTCAACCATCTGCATCGCTGGGGTGCAGCCTCGTGGATCGGGAATCCGATGTGGTGGAAGAGTTGGCATGTGATCGTGCAGCATGGCAGGCTGCCTACTCACGCTTCGGGGATATGTGCAGTCATCACCAGCCCATGATTCACCAACATTGCTATTCTCACTGGCGTGATGTTTTCCGAGTAGAGGTTCCTTGGAGACTTGGAGTTTTCATGCAGTTCGGTGTGGGTGAAGTTTTTATTTCTTGGCTGGATAGATTCGAGGGCATGCAAACCTTCCACCGTGCTGGCTCTCCTCAAGAAGTATGTCGCCTCTGGTTCTGTTGGCTGCAGTTCGAGTTCGATGGACTTCTTTTGGACATATATCTCCACGCGGATCACGTGCTAGCTTATTACCCGGATCTGTGTGCTATTCACCAACATGCTTATGACAAGTTCGGACCAGTGTGCCTTTTCAGTCAAGTTCCTCAGTCGCATGTTCAGAAGCTGGAAGCGCTGTCACGAGTACAGTGTTAGTCGGCGGACGAGTGGCTAACTACCAGGCGTTCTTGCTTGCAAGCCTGCAGCAAAAGGGGTTTACGGTTTTAGGGGTTTAGGGGTTTGGGGTTTAGGGTTTCGGGGTTTAGAGAGCTGATTGGCAGAGTCTGGGTTCAAAAACCCTAATCCCTAAACCCTAAGGCTCTGCCGTTGAAGATGCATTCCAAGCCCATGCTGGAAAAGGTTTTGGGGTCAGGTCTGGGAGGGTTCCTTGAAGGGGTCTACAAGGGTTAGGGTTAGGGCGGGTTTAGGGTTTAGGATTTCGCTATTTGTTAAAGGGGTTCAGGGCTTTAGGGTGGCTTAAAGTTCGGGGTTTGGGTCTCCAGGGTTCAACGATTTTGGGTTTCAGGGTTTGGGGTTTGGGGCTCTGCCAGATATCCCTGTGGCCATTTTGTGTACAAGGAGGGTATCAGCAAGATAACTAAGATAGCCATCCCGTAAAGTCCAAGTACTTAGTAGCATGCACTGACACCATAACCCTAAACCCTAAACCCATAGCACTTCGCATTTGGCACATGGACTACACGGGCCGTTCTTGTAGACATCAAGCCTCAACCCAAGGGATCCCTTGTAATATACGGGTTCCAGGACTGCTTTGAAAGGATTTAGGGTTTAGGGTTTATTGGGGGTTTGCGGCCCGCATCCACTCAAAGTCAATAATTTTGAGTGTTATTCCTCCGGGCTCTTGCTTATAGTTAGAGTCATGAACCCTGCAAGGAACTCCACCCCACTGCTTCAGGTTCCTCGACGAAACCCCCGAACACCCTTACAAATGGCACTGATATTGTAGAAACCCTTGACCCTTGACCTTAAACCTGACACCCTGAACCCAAAGCCCTGCAGTAATGAACCTACTGTGCACCCCCAGAAGCCTTCAACCCTAAACCCTACACCCTAAGCCCCAGGCCCACCTTTGCAAGGATGAAGTTCCCACAAATGAGGGGGTTTAGGGCCTAGGGGCTTTGGTCTTTAGGGCTTGAGGTTTTTAGGATTTTGGGTTGAGGGCTTAGGGTTTAGGGCTTAGGGTTTAGGGTTTAGGGCTTTGGGGGTTTAAGGTTTAGGGCTTTGGGGGTTTCGGGTGTAATGTTCAGGAAATGACACTTTGAGCACCGCACTACCCGAGTACTGCAGAGCACACTCCCTTGCAGTTTAAGGAATAAGGCCTAGGGCTTTCGGGCCTGAGGATTTCATAGGATGTTCTCAAGGGTTTAGGGTGTAGGGTTTAGGGTTTAGTTAGGGGTGACATTGTTTGCCTTGGGCGGCTTCAGGGTGTTGGGTTTAGGGTTTAGGGTTTAGGGTTTAGAGTTTAGGGTTTAGGGTTTTTGGCGGCGGATTGTGGGTAATGGGGTTTAGAGTGATGCATCATACTGAGAACCCTAGACCCCTAAACCCCAAGCCTCTACCCTGGGTCGTGAGTTATAGGAGGAACCCATGTCTTCCGCAAGCCGGCTATCCTGAACCGTGAAATCAACTCTTAAGCCCTGTTCCGAATTAGGGTTTAGGGTTTAGGGCTAAACCTATAGTTGAGAAGCGAATTTAAATAAGCAAGGCATAAAGCCCTGCAAAATCCTAAGCACAGCGATATACCCTGAACCCTAAACCCTAAACTCTAAAACCTTGGATCACTTTCAGGCTTGGTGCACATCTCGGAAATCAAAGAGGCCGGAATCAAGGGTTTAGTTTAGGGTTTAACCCAGGATGAAAGAAGGGGCTGAGAGGGTTTCTATAAGCGTCTTCTGAATGCATGTGCTTGTGAACCATATTGCACACCGAAACCGTAACCCTTTGCTTAACTACACCCTAAATGCAAAACCCGAAACCCCTAAACCCTAAACTATTCTCTCTTAACTTAAGGGTGGTGGAGTCCCTGTAAGTTTGGGGAAGCTGGGCCAGGGTTCCCTGTGAGGTTAAGGGTTTCTGGTTTGTGCGTTTGGCTAGACCGGGCTGCTGGACAACGAGGCCTGTTGCAAAAAGGAGTTTGGGTTTGGATTTAGGGTGTGGGGCAGGGGCTGCGTGGCATTCGCGGGCAGGTTTGGTGGGTTTGAGCCATTGCAGAGTTACAGGTGGCCCATCTAGGGCGGCGCATGTCGGTTCTAGGGCGAATGGACGAACATGGTGGCATGGCACTGAGAGCGGTGAGCTGGGCAATATAGCGTACTGTGGAGGGTTTAGAGGTTTAGGGTTCCTTGACAGAGAGAGAGAGAGGGTTCCGGGTTCAACATCACATTTGTGGGATCTTCTAGTTTAGGGTTTAGGGTTTAGGGTTTCGTATGAGGTTCGTCGCCTTGGCGATGGTCATTCGAGTATCAATGCGCGGTAATGCCGCTGCATCCGAAAGAGCAGTGTCTGTGCCTGCCAAGAGCTGGCTGGTCGATCAGTGATAGGAGAACCTCAGCTCTCTTCCATGGACTTTGTCATAGTTGGGTAACATTTTACATTTTTAAGGGTACTTAAACCCAATAAGGAATATATATTTAGATTTTTAATACTACCCCAACCATGAACTAGTGGAAGTGTCAAGTCGGGTATGTCCTAATGTAGGAGCCTGATTAAGAAACCCTGGCCCAATAACCACAAAATAGTTAATTTGTAGGATTCAATCAAGGAGGACGGGCCGCTGATGCTCATGATGCCTTGGGATGGCTGGATATGCCAAAACGGCGTGGCAGTTGATGCTCATGATGCTGGGTGGGTCGGTGCTTGACATGGCTATGTTGCGGCTGCTGTGGAAAAGGATGGCCGCTGATGCTCATGATGCTTTGGGATGGTTGGGGAGGCCAAGAAAGGTGTGGCAGCTGATGCTCGTGATGCTGGGTGGGTTGGTGCAGCATGTCCACTGCTGTAGACAAGGATCTGCCGCTGATGCTCATGATGCTCTGGGATGGCTGGGTGTGCCGAAGAAGCTGTGACAGCTGATGCTCGTGATGCTGCGTGGGCTGGTGCTCCGCATCGTCTGCTGCAGAAAAAGGATGAGCCGCTGACGCTCATGATGCTGTGGAGTCTCAACGGAGGTGTGGCAGCTGATGCTCAGAATGCTGGGTGGGTTGGTCTACGTATGGTACGTTAAGGGCTGCTGCAGAAAAGGACGGGCCCCTGATGCTCATGATGCTTTGGGATGGCTGGATACGCTGGAAAAGGCGTGCTGGTTTTGGGGCTGGAATGATAGGATACGACTGCTGCTGCAGAAAAGCGGAAGCGGCTGATGCTGATGATGCTCTGGGGTGGTTGGGGAGGCCTAAGACGGTGTGGCAGCTGATGCTTGTGATGCTGGATGAGATTACGGCCGCAGTAGAAAATCACGGGCCGCTGATGCTCATGATGCCGGTTTGGTTGGGAGGTCCAAAGAAGGATTTTGTAGTGCTAAGCGGTTGGTGCTGATGCTCATGACGAGGCTCTGGGATAGTTGGATATGCCCAGAAAGGCGTGGCAGCTGCTGCTCGTGATGCTGGGTGGGTGCTGGACATGGTAGGTTACCTTTGTCATAGTTGGGTAACATTTTACATTTCTAAGGGTACTTAAACCCAATAAGGAATATAAATTTAAATTTTTAATACTACCCCAACCATGAACTAGTTACGGCTGCTGTGGAAAGGATGGGCTGCTGACGCTTTTTTGGGTTGAAAGCGAAGTTGGAGCTGATGGGGAATGAAACCCCGAACCCCAAACTATAAACGGAAAAGCCCTAAGTTCACATTCGACAAGGAGGATGTATTGCTTAAGTTGCCCGAAACCCTAAACCCTAAACCCTAAACCCTAAAAAGGGGAACATGTTAAAGATTATTGCGGGAAACGTATGGTGCTAGGCCACCGGAGCAGCAGAAAAGGATGGACTGCTGCTGTGCGTGTAGGGTGCAGGGGTTTGGGGTTTCGGGTTCAGGGTTTGAGAGTGTTTAGGGTTTAGGGTTTAGGGGTTTAGGGTTTGGGGTTTCGGGTTTAGGGTTTGAGAGTGTTTAGGGTTTAGGGTTTAGGGGTTTAGGGTTTGGGGTTTCTGGTTTAGGGTTTGAGAGTGTTTAGGGTTTAGGGTTTAGGGGTTTAGGGTTTGGGGTTTCGGGTTTAGGGTTTCAGAGTGAGACATGGGCGGGTTGTCAATGCACCGGCAAGAGGTTGTGGCTGCCTTCGCAAAGTGCTCGTGATGCTGGGGCGCATGCAGGTGGCTAAGAACAGGGAACCTACACCCTAAGCCCCAAACCCTGAACGGTTGATGCTCGAGATGCCGGGAGGCTGGGGGCAGGGAGAGACCATGGATTGGTTACACGAAAGAAGGAGCCAGTGATGCTTGGTTAGGGTTTAGGGTTTAGGGGTTTAGGGATCAGGGTTGATACCGGACAGGTTTGGTGGCAAAGACTAGCATTGGCGGCAGATGAGCTCGGCTGTGGGTTCATAGGAATGCAAGGTTTGTAGGAAGGACAGCAACAGGTCCGATCCACACCCCCGTTTTGATAGTCGCATGAGGCTGCCCACTTGCAACCCTAGTTTTACGGTTTTACGGTGTTTTAGGAAGAAACGCGAAACGCCTTGCCATAAGCTCTGAAACCTTGCACCCGCCGACCTGAAATCCAAAAAACCCTTCAGCAACCCTAAACCATGTCCGACTGTGAGCGCCGAAACTCTAACTTGTCCTACACGAACCCTAAACCTTAAACTGCAAAAATATTTTTAAAAGATATCTTAACCCTAAGAAGTTATGTTTCAGGGTTATCTTAATCCTAAGTTATGGTTCGGGGTTAAGGGTTTAGGGGAGTTGTAGGGTAAGGCATCCTTCTGCCCTGCCTAGGCCCTGCCCTAAACCCTACCCTAAGACCGCTAAACAAAAGCCCCTTCCTGTGCCGAGCCAAAAGCCCTTAAACCCTAAACCCAAACCGCAAACCCTAGACCCTGAACCCCAAGCCCTAAACCCTAAACCCCTAAAGCCCTAAACCCTTGGAACCCCGCCTGGCTTGCCCGAGTTGTGAGAGCGTAAAACCCTAAACCCCAAACCCTAAGCCCTAAAAACCCAAAGCCCTAAACCCTAAATTTCGAACCCCAAACCCTAAATTTCGAACCCCAAACCCTAAACTTTGAACCCCAAACCCTAAATTTCGAACCCCAAACCCTAAACTTTGAACCCCAAACCCCTAAACCCTAAACCCTAAACCCTAAACCCTAAAACCTAACTTCTAGCCCCTCGTCCCTCCTAGCCTAATGAGCTTGGGGTTTAAGGTATCCCGAACCCCCCAAGCCCAAGATACCAAAACCGCCGGTTTAGGGTTTAGGGTTTAGCTTTGGGTTTGTGGGGTTGCCCCGAACCCACAAACCCAAAACCCAGAGCCACGAGACTCCCCAACTCAGAAAGATTCGATGCAGGGCCATGTCAGCGACGTCACTGCTGAGGCTAGCTCAGGGTGTCCTAAACCCTCAACCCTCAACCCTAAACCCTAAACCCTAAAGGGACGTTTCAGGGTTTGGAGCTGGGGGTTTCAGGGTTTGGTCCTTTGGGCTTCTGGAGGTTTTGGGCTTCGAGGGCTTAGTGGTTGCAGGGTTTGGGGGTTTGGGGTTTAGGGTTTGGGGCTTTGGGGCGTTGGGCTTTAGGGTTTCAGCGTCTGGGTTTTCGTGCTTTGGGGCTAAGGGTGTTTTGGGACTTTAGCCTTGGGGTTTGAGTGCTATGAGCTTGTAAGTTTGGTGTCGTGCAAGGAAATCTCTTTTTGACGTCTCCGGCGTTTTTAAGGCGGCGAAGAACCCCTAGACCCTAAACCCTAAACCTTAAACCCCTAAAGCCTAAACCCTAAAAGTGGACCAAAAAAACCCTAAACCCTAAACCCCTAAACCCCTAAACCCGAAACCCAGAAACCCCTAAACCCGAAACCCCTAAACCCTTAAAGCCCCTAAACCCTTTCCCAGACCCCCACACTCCTGAAACTCTGAAGCATTAGGGTTCAGGGTTTGGTAGGGTTTAGGGCGGGTGAGGCCCCTAGGCCTTAGATTTCAGCGTGAGGCCCGGGGTTTAGGATGTAGGGTTTTTAGGCTTTGCGGTTTAGGTTTTAGGGTTTAAGGTTTAGAGTTTAGGTTTTAGAGTTTACGGTTCAGGTTTTAGGGTATAAGGTTTAGGGTTTAGGGTTTTAGGCTTTTCGGTTTAGGGAAACCCTAAACCCTTAACCCTAATCCCTGGGTATGGGGTTTGGGGTTAGGGCATGGCTCCCAGCTGATTGGAGCGAGCTCCGGGTTCAAAAGGGTTTAGGTTTTAGGGTTTAGGATTTAGGGTTCAGGTTTTAGGTTTAGGGTTTAGGATTTAGGGTTTAGGGTAGGCGGGAAAATTAAAGGGAACCGCCTCTCCAGATATCCAGAAGCCCCTCGCCAGAACTGAAGCCTATAGTATAAGGGTTCCCTTAAGGGTTCTATAGGGATAGGAGTTTGTTGTTTTTTTTTTAGGGCTTTAGGTGGTTCTATCTCTTGGTGGCACCTAAACCCTAATATCCCTAAGGCCCCTAAACCCTCAACCCTAAACCCAAAACCCCAAACCCTAAACCTAAGCCCTAGTTGGACGCACCTTGCTGGACGCATGCACTGAGACACCTCGCCCGAATTGCCCAAGCTATGGGAGTCCAAACTGTTCAAGCCATTCAGAAGCCTTCAAGGGTTTAGGGTTTAGGGTTTAGGGTTTAGGGTCCCTGAACCCAAACCCTAA